TTTTGCCCTACGTGTTTTGAATTCTATCATTTTTTTTTTTTTGAAAGGGCTGATGATGGTCAAAATAAAAACCAAAAATACTTTTCTGAATTTTGTTTTTAATTTCCTTAAAGTTTATATTAATAAAATATCATAATTATATTGTATCTTTATAAAAAAGTTTCAAATCTGCTAGAACAGACTTTCTTCATATTAACAATGAAGAAGCAGAGTGTTCCAAAATCTAAAGACAAGTTTTAATCTGATTAAGTGAGAAGTCATGATCAGATGCTATTAATTGTTATTAACTAACTTAAAACATATTTTAAACAAAGATGATCTTGAAAATATTTAGTGACTGATCAACAAACACAAATAATACTATATTTTTTTAAGTGGTTCACAAAAGACAAAGGTTCATGAAATAACTTTGTCTTTTGTGTTCTTCTGACATGTAAACAATAACAAGCCATCCCATTGCATTGTATCAATTCAAGATTTTTTAACATAAAAGGTAAAATGATGAGAGTTTTTTCTTTTGATGTTATGGAAAAATTGTTGTAAATTACACACAGTGACTTATAACCTGCACCATCAAAGTCAGAAAGATTTTTTTTTAACATGAATCATACATTAGTAGCATTAAATTACTGTAATTAAAATATTAAATGTTGATTTGAAGTACAAGAATCTAAATAGGGATGCTGTATTGTATTACACTGTATGTGCACAATAAACTGATTACAATATATATACACATTTGATATTATAAAGACATTGGAAATCATTCTCCATTAGTACCATTATGTTTTATGTTTGACTTATAATCAATTCAACTTAACACAGAATTCTTCCAGGACTCCCCTCATGAGTTAGGGACTACCTATAATTGTTTTTTAATTACTATGCATATGTAGCTAGAACTATTTCTAAGATTATCAGCACGAAAACGGCTAGAAATTAGTGAGAAAGATTTTGTGCTGATAATGTTTTTTAATTGTTAGATAACTTAAAAAATTTAAATTTATCATTTAATTTCTTAAAACTTGTCTTCATAGTCAGATAAGAGTAATGTTATTAACATTATCTAGTATTAATAGTAATATCTTTTCAAAAAAATGAATACAATATTTGAAATAAATTTAATACTTTATAAAATTGAATTTGATTCAGAAATATATCAGACCATTAGAGTATATAGACACTGTTACATCACATAAACATTAATATGGCAGTGACAAATAAGTTGTAATTGCAGTCCTTACAGTCACTGTGTGTAGTGCTTTTCTGGAAATCTTTTATCCAGATATTGATAATACATCTGTAATCTAGAACCATATTTTTAATAGAACAATTCAAAACTTCAGTAACTGAAATTAGACATTTGATATCGGAGACTAAATACAAAGAAGTATTTTTGAAGTTTACTGAATGTCCATTCACAATCACTGGAACACACAATACTAGCAGAATTGAACTTTCTTTATAGGCTTTTCTCTGCCTATACTTGTACAAATTGTCTATAAAAAGTCTATAAAAAAGGACTGACTCTGCTAGTGTTATCTATGAAATATTCCATTGGATTAAGGTTGGATTTCAGATACAATACTTCACTTCTTGTACACCCATATTCTCAAACCATGTCTGTGCACATTATCTTTTTACAGTGATGCATTATTATTATTATTATATTGAAATAAGAAAGTTCTATCGTAAATGTTGCCATGATGTTGGGAGTATTAAATCAAACAAAATATTAAGATACTGCTCAATAGTTCTAGTTCCTAGCTACTTGAATAAGAGAAATAATTTGAATCATAAGAAATAAACTTCATATCACCTATATCAAACTTTATAATCAGCAGTACATTGTCAGGCATAATAACATTATCTTTCTATCTACCTCTACATCCATATTCTTCCAGTATCCAGAAAATATTAGGATATAAATTATAATTATGAACAAATAAACAGGTTCAACATTAAAATAATAATATATTTCATAATTCAGATTGTAGATAATTTGTTGTTTTTACAGGCTTTAAATTCTTATGTTTATTCATTCTTTTATGTTAGATTTTAAACTGACATTATGAATAAAATTCCATTATATGCTATAATACTCAGTATAAAAATTATTGAATTAAATTAAAAATACAGTAACATGTCAATTATCCAAATCAATTGGGGACTGGGGTTGTTTGGAAAATTGATTTTTCAGATAACCNTTATATGTATGTTATATTCTTTTTTAATGTTTTAGTTGGCTGAAGAAGGGCTTAAGAGCCCGAAACGTGTAAAATGTTCACAAGTATCAACTAAATAAAGATGAGAAAATCCGCCAAGTGTCTTAATTTATAGCACTTTATTGTGTTAGAAGAATAAATATATACCATGTTTAAATTTTTCTCCATTGCGTGCCGCTTCACATTGAATTTTCGTCGATGTTAAGCCTAATGAAAATTTTTATAATAATAATCGTGGCTATTGTATTATTAAAAATTATTTCTTTATTTTATACAAATAAAATAAATATATTGAAAAATATAAAAACAAAAAAATTATACTTTAGAAGTTAATCTAGTATCAAAAATGTTTGATTCAGCACGACACACTCCAAATGGAATGCTTTCAGTTGATCAGCATTTGGATAATCGACACTCTACTGTACTACTAATGAACTATTATAATTATGAATTTTATTTTGGATACAAGAAATATATTTTAAAATATATGTAAGAAATTTTTACTTTAATAGTTCATCATATTCTAATAAAGAATAATAGTATTGTTTCAAAATACATAAGAAAATATTTAAAATTTATAAAAGTTATGTATTTAGACTGTAAGGAAACTAAAATTATATGTTGACAATAAAATATTAAATTCATAAAAATTTTAATCTTGAATATATAATTTTGAAATATATTTATGTTGATGATGATTTTTATTTTCAGCAGGTCCTCTTGATCCAAAAACAGAAAAAGCCATTAAGAATAAATGGGAAAAAATTATGGGGCCAGCCTATGAAATAGTAGTAAGTTCTTATCTTTATTCATGCACTATTTTATATGGGCATAAATTTGGAAAGTTTCATGTATATTACAAATAGTTATTTAAAAGCCTAAAATATATTTATATAAACTATCTTGACTGAAGTACCAGAAGAAAGAAAATATGTATATTTAAATGTTTTTAGCTAATTTTCCAACTTTGGGTATAATGAGAAAAGAATACTGAGTGGCATTGCTCTAGATGCAGATATATATGCTTAGATATTATTTTTCTGTATCCAAACAAAAACAGAGATGTTATCTCTCTGTATTTTAATAGAATTGAGAGGCTGAGTACAAGTGGTATAAACTTTTTATTATTATTATATTGTACAGTAAAGTTAGTTAGTTTTTAAATTTTGCTGTTATATTTGTTTCCACCAATACTTAATTGGAATTTTAGTAATCTAATTCTGTTTAGAGACAGTACATTTAATATATGAAAATATGGCACTGTTAAGTCAGTTTAACCACCAGAATGAGAGAGATCACTTGTGCTCATCTTTTCATTTGTTTCTTTTCATTATTCTTAAATATGGTGAATTATGTAAAAACATGCACATAGGTTTTTGTTTTCTTCTGGTGCTTTAATTAATGCAACTTTGGTATACAGTAGACCCCCCCCTATAATGCAGATTCCTATAACGTGGAAAAAAAATTGTGACGGTATTTATATAAAGATGCTAAAAGGGCCGTGTAAAATGTGGTAAAACGTCATTGCCAACTTGTTTCATGACAGGATTGGTCTAATCTGGACCAATAGTAGACAAGAAGCCGAACTACTTACACGCTACGGAGAGTTTAGGCCAGTAAGTTGAGTTTACTATCGTCTGTACAGTATGTAAATTAGGTACCGTAAGTCTAATACAGCACTATAATTTTATACATTTCTTGTGAAAGAAACATTTCTTATTCATCAGCCATAAAAATTATTTCTATTAATGATGTCTCCAAAGTTCAACGAATTTTTCGCAGAAAAATAACTTATCAGAAATTGTGGCCGCCGTTTGGTGCGCTGCTCCGCGACCAAAACAAGCTTAAGCAATGACGTCGTCGAACGGTGCACACTTGGTAAGTAATCCTACAATTTTTTTGTTCATAGCATAGTTTATACGGATTATTCCCAAAAAATTATACGTATTTTGGAAATGTTGAGTCGAATTAGTATAGAATCGATTAATTTTATGGAAGAAAATCTTTCAAACAGCCATAGTCCGTAAACTTCACACGTGTCGGGCTGTGATTGGCTCATGTATTTAAGGATTCCTACAACGCGAAATTCGTATAAAGTGGAACGTATCTACCTCGTTATAGGGGGTATACTGTATATGTTTCATGTATATTTTATTATTATGAATATATTGAAATTACATAAAACATTATTATAAAGATTATTATAATTTTTTTAACAAGTTGCTCAAATTAAAAAAATTAAATTTAATTCTTTGCTACATTTTATTGTATCTAAAGTTTTATTAATAAAATTTTATTCTCTTGTTTTTAAATTAACATATACTTTGTTTTACACATCTATTTTTACTGATTTTGTTGAATGGTTTTATAAAACTTTTAGTATTTTTATTCTATTTTTGAACTAGTTTACAAGCACCTTTTTCTTTTTATACTAATTTTAACAATCCACCATATGGTTGGTGCAGCTTGGCCCAAGAAGCCTTTGCACTATTAAAAGGCAACAAACCAAACCAAACCAAACCTAAATTAATATATATAAGTGAAATATGTATGTTAATTAGAGACAGTAAATGTGATTTTTATGAATCCATATGTTAAAATAAAAATATACAAAAAATTTAAAAATAAATTAATATCATTATTAATAATTTATATACATTTTAAAGTATGATATATCTATTTAAAATTTTTATAAATCAATTTTTGAGATGTTCTGAATAAATTCTATGAACTAATTACAATAGGTAATACTATAGATTATGTATTTTTGCCAAAGCTAATAGAAACCTGTGGATTCTACATTAAGAATATGTATTAAAGACTAGATATAAACATATAAGGTACTGAACTAACAAAAGAACTTATAAATACACTTACACTTAAATGAAATAATCCCAAATAGAAAACGAAAAAAAAAAGAGAGCAAAAAGAAAATGAAAATAGAAGTGAGATGGCTTATAATTATAAAGGAGGGTAACTCATTATACTGCAAGTTTTCAAATGATAGTTCTTTAGTTTTTAGCATGAAGTCCTTTTTTTTTCTTTTACTCATTTAAATTCTTTACACACAAGTCAAGGTCAGAAAAGCAACTTAGTTGGTCACAGTTCAGATTCCTTACTCTACACTGGGCACAAGACAAAAATGTCCTCTTCCCACATTATTTTTGTTGATTTATACATCATCTAATTAATGACAATGCACATAAATCATAAACTGTTTCTCATTCATATAATTCATTCAAGCTCACTTAATAAGATCCAGCTCTAAGATCAGAAATGAGTGAATTAGAAAAAGGAAGGAAATAAAAAAAAGGAAGCAAAAAAGAAGAAAATGGCATTATTAGGCTTAAAAGAAATTACTAATTTCACATAATTGTTATATCTATTCTTTATAAAATATTTAGATTAAAAGCATTATGAAACTTTTTTCTGTCATAAAAAAACAGAGAAATCATAAATAAATAATCATAAGATTTTTGTTATGAATAATCTGTATTAAGAACAAGTGGACAAGGTGAGTAAAGAAACCTGCAATGGCTAGAGGACAAAAGCCCCCTAGTATAATTATAAAATAGCTATAAGTAGCCACAATACTACTACATAATGGAAAATGAAAAGTGAAAAATATTTAAGAATACATTTGAAATTCCTCAAAATTACAATTTATGAATACATTCTAAAAATATTTCTTTATTAAACCAAGTTTTATTTTCTTGTATTACAAAATTAAATGGAATATTTTTCTTTCAAACATTTATTCATTTTTAAATAAGTTAATAAAATTAGTTTATAAAAATTATTGATTAAAAGCAGAATTTATTGGTTCTTGTAAACTGAAAATATTAATATATAGAAATTAGTGACTTTTTGACATTCCTGTTTTAGACAATTTGCACTTTTGGACATGATACTTTGATACTTTTAACTGACTTGTGCAATTTACAACCGATGAACAAAAATTTCAAATTGTTATGTGATGGTGTTTTCTGCCAGTTTTGGTTTCAGTAACAGAAAAATCATTTTTAAAAATTAGGTTTTATTGTCTATTATGTGATTTTAATATTTTAAGTAAACATAAAAGAAGCATAAGTAAGTTATAAAATAAGTTTGTCATAAGTAATTTTATAAAATATTAAATATATTTAAGAAATTTGATTCCATTTACTGTTTTAAAGTTTGTTGAACCACTTTATAAACTAACTGATAATGCAAAAATGTATACCTTTTTAATTTCATTGATTGGAAAATCATTAACTTTAAGCTCCATTACTTTCTGATTATTTGGTGTATGATGATGACCCAACATGTTCATATTCTGTAAATTGGAATAGTTAGGATTTAATAAAAATATAATTTCTTAAAATGTGTTGTCCAAATTTATTACAGCAGGTTTACTCAATATATTTTAAGATAATTAGTTTTATCTGATAATCCAGATAATTTATTTTTGAATAATTATAAATTTATCTTCAATATTTTTTGAAACTCTTGATATTTCATTTTTATATGTTGATTTATTTGTAGGTAGCACAGCTGACAAAGTTTCGTGAAGGTGGAGGTTTAGGAATCAGTTTAGAAGGAACTGTAGATGTGATAGATGGTAAAGAAGTATGTCCACATCATTATATTCGATCAATTTTAGGTGATGGACCAGTAGGAATTAATGGAAAACTTCAGAGTGGAGATGAACTTTTAGAAGTGAGTTTTTAACATTTAGTAACTTTCACTTTTACTTTATCTTAGTAAATAATTTTAGAATTGCAGCATTTAGATTTATATTTAATATTCAAGAAGGAAAGAAAACAGAGCTATAGATCAGTGATTTTCAAAGTAAGGTCTGTGAGAATGAGCCCACATGGTCTGTAGACTGGCCTAGTCATTTCTTCCAAACTGCAATTCTATACTGTTTTACCATTTTCATCATCACATATTTCTTACATTAGGTTATTGGATAGACAAAATATTTTGGACATCCTATAAATATTATCAAAGATGATATTTATAGGATGAGAAGTAGGTAATGGCATAAGTAATCTGCAGTTCATATGTGATTTAAGTGGTTTAAGTGGTCTACAAATTGATAACTTTATACCATTGTAGATTTAATGCTCTAATACAAAAAGAAACATTTTTAATAAAAAAGTATAAAAGAACCAATTTTATTAATTAAAATTGAAAATAGTCTGTTCAAAGAAGTCACCTTTTATTCTATTCTATACTCCAGAATACATACCATAATGGCCTCACCTTTCCTTTTACATACTTGGTTACTAAAAAATTATCTTAAAACATGAACAAATAACTGATTAAAAAATAAAACACTTTAAAATTCAGAGCAGAAACCAGACAGATGTCTCTTTGCTTTCCATCTATGCTTTGAAGCCATACTATTGCTTGAACTTATATACATTGAGAGAAATGCTGGTAATATGTAGATTTCAAACTGTCCCTTGGTCATGAATTCTTGTAGGGTGTTTTCAATTTATAAGATTCTGGATAGTAATTTTTATATTAATTAAAACTGAAGACAAAGTCCATTGATAAAAGTTACTTTTATTCACTTGATCTTCAGTTTAATTAATATAAAAATTATATCCTGAATTCTCTAAATTGAGAACTGATTTTAGTTATTTAATGTATCAATCTAAAATGTGTAGCAATAGGTTTTACATTTTGAAACTTTAGTTGCATAACAATAGTTCTTAAACATTTCAAAAAGAATAGATTTTAAGTTTTAGCATGTTTTATTTTAAATGAATTTTTCCTTTTATGATAGTACTAATAACTTACTTATGCTTAGTGCTTTTCTTCTTAATAGTTTATTTTTGTGATATGAGGAATAAATAAAAAAAATATGAAATATATTTAAATGTGTAAAATAAACAGTTGTTTTATAAAATGTTTCAATAAATCTCACTGTCAACTCAGCAAAGCTCTTCAAATGTTTTTGACTACACCAAAGGTCATCATCTTCAGGAAACCAAAGAATTCAAAAATGGAATGCTTGGAACATGCACTTCAAAAGCTTGGTATGATGAGTTGCTGTGAAACCATCATGCATTCAATGGGCATTTGCAATTTGGAAGACATAATTGCATTCAAATGTGAATTCCATATGTCCAAATTTTGAAGTGCACATTCCAAGCATTCCTTTTTCAAACTCTTTGGTTTCTTGAAAAAGGCCTTGGAATAGGCTGAAAACATTTGAAGAGTTTTGCTGCTGTTCTGTTGAGTTGATGGTGAGGTTTATTGAGACATTATGATCATTATCCAGTTTACAGTCTGAGGAATTTTTACAGTTTTATGTTTATAAATTCTCAAATCTCCAATTAGAACACAAAATATAAGAAAATTATGCTTTATTGGAGTGAATTTTTTAAATATTCAAAAAACCCAAGCTCATTTTTAGAAGTATGAAATAGTCCAAAAAAATCTACAGCATGTTACAAATAATTTAAGTATAAAAGAAAAACTATTTTTTTTTATACATTCTAAAAACAAATGTTAAATATATGTAGGTAATTTATATACATTTTAAAGTATGATATATCTATTTAAAATTTTTATAAATCAATTTTTGAGATGTTCTGAATAAATTCTATGAACTAATTACAATAGGTAATACTATAGATTATGTATTTTTGCCAAAGCTAATAGAAACCTGTGGATTCTACATTAAGAATATGTATTAAAGACTAGATATAAACATATAAGGTACTGAACTAACAAAAGAACTTATAAATACACTTACACTTAAATGAAATAATCCCAAATAGAAAACGAAAAAAAAAAGAGAGCAAAAAGAAAATGAAAATAGAAGTGAGATGGCTTATAATTATAAAGGAGGGTAACTCATTATACTGCAAGTTTTCAAATGATAGTTCTTTAGTTTTTAGCATGAAGTCCTTTTTTTTTCTTTTACTCATTTAAATTCTTTACACACAAGTCAAGGTCAGAAAAGCAACTTAGTNACCTAAAAACAGGAGTAAGAAATAACAAAAACACAGTAAATTAATCATTTTGGTATTTATATTTAATGTTATCGGGTTAGTGTTGTTTGTTTATATTTATTTATAACTTATAACATGCACAAAATAAAAAAATAATAATATTAGTCACATGTATTTACAATTTATAATTAGAAATATCAGCACACATACACACCTATTTGTTCAAGAATCTTCGCACACATCTGAGGGTCTGACCCTGCCTATCCTTTTTAAGCGCTCGTCTTTGCTCTTTCCTTTCTCTTTCCTCTATCTCTCTAGTCCATGTATGCCTATGAATACATCATAATACGTGCTTACATTACTTTTGATTCGTCACTTTTCAGTCATAGTTTTTCCATTTTATAATTACGTGACTCGTAGCCTAGTGATAACGGAGAAAAGAGACAGATAGGACGTCGGTATATGTCACAGTTATGATTTCACAGATTCGAGACAGCTTGATAGCCCGAACGATCCCATTCACCCATGCATGCTAAGTGACTTTCATTACAAGCATTTAGCTTTCCGAAGTCTATAACAACAATTGTTTGGCATTGACGGCCACAAATTTTGCGCCAATAAACTGCTTCGACTTGTTCGATTATGTTATCAACTCAATTTCATACTTATTTTTACATTTTCACTTCGCGGTCTTTCTCTGTTCTTTTTCCGTTATTTACACGTGTAGGTCATTTCATTGTTATTCACATTTGATATCATCATTTATCGCATACTGCCATGATGCTCTTGTCTGTCCCCTACAACTGTCAAGAATTAATGCGATTGGCGAAGCGTAGTGACAGCGGGCCAATGGAGAGCAGGGTCCTTGCCATAATGCGGTTTGCGCGCCAATTTTCGTACGTGCATTAATCAAGCCGAATAGTTTGGCTGAATATACTATTCGTTGCAACACTAGTTTTCATATCTGGTTTTGTCTTTCATCTATCTAACTCTGTTCTTAAGATTAAGACTGTCAGACTATCCATGGGGGGAAATTATAGGTCTACAATTTTTTTATTTTAATTGCATACCAATAAAATATTAAAAAACGGAAATGTATATTACCTACAAATGATGATACTTTATTTCCTACATTTAGTAAAAAACATACTTTATTCATATACAATACATACACATATGCCTATTTATTTTTAACAGAGTTGGAGAGCAATCTGGATAATCAGAATCTTGATAATTGGAGTTTTATTATTTCAGCATAAAATTATTTGAATATATATTTAAGTTAAACCTACTGATTGATATGATATGTGATTTTAATTAATAATAATTAGTCATTGATGATTAATTTTTTTTACTTAGGCAAATGGAAAAAAATTATTAGGTCTAAATCATATTGAAGTTGTTTCTGTACTTAAAGAATTGCCCATTTATGTTCGTATGGTATGTGCCAGAAGTCTTCATCCAGGAAATAGACAACCTCCGTCCTCAACAGTAATTAATCCTACAATAGCTTATCCAACATTCCACAGTTCTGATTTTGATGCTACTTCAATGCCTGAACTAAATGGTAGAGATGGATTAACTGACAATTATGGAGGTAGTTTAACTTCACTTACTCCAATTTCGGATCGACTAGTCAAAGCAAAATCTGATGGATCACTTGCGGTAGTTGCATCTACATCTCCTGAATTGCCATATAATAAATTAAAGTCTCGATCTCTAGAACCCTTAACTGGTTTAGCCATGTGGAGTAGTGAGCCCCAGATAATTGAACTAGTCAAGGGCGACAGGGGTCTTGGATTCAGTATATTGGATTACCAGGTTAGTATTTTAAATCAAGTTTAATTATTTTACTAATAAAAGTAACATTTTAATTACTTTAAATGTCATATAAAATAAATACAGAATGAACATTGTCATTATAAATAGTCAAATTCGGGATGAAGTGAAAAATGTCATATTTAAGAAAAAGGAACCATTTCTCTTAATTCCAGAAAATCAGTTTGATGACAAAAATGCTTTCAATCTAGATTGACAGATCTTTCAGTTGCTACAAGAATAGAATGAGAATTAGAATACAATTACAAAATTTAAGATTTGAATAAAGAGAACCTATACTGTGCTTACATGTGAAGCCAAATTTTATGTAAAATTCATATTGGAATTACAATAAGATAGAATAAAATAATGAAACTATAAACATTATTTTGTTCTTTAAATTTTATCTGAAATTATGATATATGCTAGTCATCATGTTAGCTTACATGACAAATTATAATAGTAATAACATGGAATGTTTATGTTAAAATTCAAATAACCATGAAAATAAACAAAATTCACTCTAACTTCAGCACCGGAGTAAAATCCTCACTTTCCTGAACCTGTTACAGGTGCGTAACACGTATAAGAAATATACAGCAGGTGACAAATGTTTTTGAACTATCTCGCAGTTCTTCCTCAGGTCAACTAGGTTAGGAATGATTCTATATTTCTTATACACATTACGCGCTGGTAACAGGCTCAGGGAAGTGAAGAAAAATGAACAAAATTTGTAATGATCAGAATACGTAATAACTTTTATATTTTATGGTAAATGTTACATATTCTGACTAATATGATATGGCAAAAATGATGTATAGATTGACACATTGAAAGAAGCAATTTGCATTTATATTGGTGGTGATAATGATTTTTGTGTGTGATTTTAGTTTGATATCTAAAACTGCATGTAAAAATGATTTCCTTTCTTTCTTTTTAGTTGTTGAACAGTATTAAATAATTAATATAATGATTATATAATTTAACATTCAAAGAAATTTTTTAGATATTTTGATAATTAATATTGTTTTATTAAGCCAAAATAAATATACAGTAGAGTGTTGATTATTCGAATCAATTGGGGACTGGGGTTGTTCGGAAAATTGATTTTTCGGATAACCGATTATGTACAAAAAATACATTATTAATATAGTATATCCCAATAAAAGTATATTAATATATTTCTTGTTTAAATTTTTCTTCGTTGCGTGTCGCTTTGCATTGAATTTTCGTCGATGTTAAGCCTAATGAAAATTTTTATAATAATAATAATCATGGCTATTGTATTATTAAAAATTATTTCTTTATTTTGTACAAACAATATAAATATATTGAAAAAAAAAGTAAAAAAAAATTATACTTTAGAAGTTAATCTAGTATTAAAAACGTTCGATTCAGCACAACACAGTCCAACTGGAACACTTTTCAGTTAACCAACGTTTTGGTTGATCGACATTTGGATAATCAATGCTCTACTGTAATTATAAAACAAATTTGCATAAGAATGTACAACATATATTAATTTCAAATATAAAAAAATAATAAAGGAAACATTATAAAATACATTTCATGTTATTCACTTATCTTCATGTTAAAATTAAACAATTTTAAATTCTAATAATTTAAGGAGTTGTACTATTTTTATCTGAAATAAAAAGTGATAAAACTTTTTATAATATGCAGTTACTTCAGAAATATATATGCTCCAATGAGTATACTTTAGAAATCTGATGCTAAGACAGTTGGTCTCAAAAATCATTTTATCTGAAATAAAAATGTATAGTATATAATTTAATATATGTAAATTCCAGCTCACAACATAGAGAATTGAAGACTCCTTAAATTATTAGCATTTAAAATTGTTTAATTTTATTTTGTGTGTTTATTTATTAAAAACTTGATATACAAATTGCGGGAGTCAGTATTTTTAGCATTTGAAGCACGATCTTATATTCATATACTTGTGGTGTTATGAAGTTGTATCATCAATTTTCTTGAAATTAATTACTTCTTTTTTGCTTTAATGATTTCTCTTATTCTCTTACATAAATTAACGATAAATTTAATTATCAAAGATCAAATGTAATAAATTTGTGACAGACATTTTTACTTTAACTGTATTTTTAAAAATACAGTAGAGCATCAATTATCCAAATCAATTGGGGACTGGGGTTGTTCAGAAAATCGATTTTTCGGATAACCGATTATGTACAAAAAATATATCAACCTATCCCATGTTGAAATTCTTTCAAATCCTGGCACATCCTTAAGTACCCACTCATGGTCATGCCAGTGCTACCAGCTAAAACACACACATCAATAAAAATATTATTGGAGTAGCCCAAGACATAGTCAGAGATTGCAGTGCACAGCACCAGTGGAAATTTAAAGTTGCCAGCTGGAAAGCTTTTGGTTACTTGATGTTATGGTTGATTGATATTTTGATAATCAATGCTCTACTGTATTTTGAAAAATTAAAATTTTGCTTTCATTACCTAGCTATTCAGTTTCTTCTATCATAAAAATAAAAATTATTTCAGCATTTTAACAGATTTGTCTTAATTTTATAATTATGAAACACTTTTGTGTTTATCTGCTCAATATATTATTTTAAAGTAATTAATGAATGTAATGTTTTTAATTTGAATAGTATTTGGACATATTTCCTAAAAGAAGTAATTAAATAATGTTTAGAAATATAACTATAAAAAATAATGTAATGAAATTAAATCTTATACTAATAGCAGCATTATAATTGTATTACATGTAAATATGTAATATTCAATTAAAAGATGTGTGTTTTGGATAATTTTACAAAAAGAATTTTACAATTTGAAAAAATTGTAGACCTATTCAGTCCATCTGTCTTTCCTTAATCTGGATAATGGAGTTAGATAGATGAAAGATGAGACCAGATATGGAAACCTTAGGGGCAGGAGACCCGGATTAATTATACGTGAACTTCCAATATAGATTGGAAGTTGTGTTATTTCAATTCAAAACTTCCCCTGAAAGCAGTTAATCCAACACTGGCACAACTCTATTGTTAAAGGAAAAGTATGATGTACAGGGACAAGACACCACAGTACTAATTTTATTTGGAGAGCATATATTTTTAAATTAAATAAATTAAAAATATGATTAAAAATTGCAGTATGGCATTGTGATGATGTTACAATAAAATAATTGCTTGTTAGTTTATGTTATCTTTGTAAAATCTAGGATAATTAATAGCCACATTTTATAATTTCAAGGTGTTTTTACTCTTGCATGTTTATATAAAATAATTCATAATTTAATTGTAATTCTATAAACTTAATTTTTTAAACTTCTACATTCACAAAACACTGGGACGAAATCAACATGAACAATACCTGAACCAGTTACCAGTTACCAGTGTTGGAGAACCAGTTACCAGTGTTGGAGAAAAGACGAATAAAAAGAGAACTAGTAAGGTTTGAAAATGTTCACAATTTTTATTCATCATCTTTTTAACACCAGTAACTGGTTCAGGTATGTGTTGACTTAATTTTTTATTTATGTTTAGTTTACTATAAAATTAAAATTGTGTACTTGATCCTCAATACTGTTCAATGGAATGGAATTATGCCATCTTATATTTTATTTATAAAAATATGAATATAATAGTTGCTATGATTTAAGATCAAAATATTTTTATAAATAATTTTACCTTTGAATTCTGTAAAAAGTAATTTAATTGACTTGTATTTCTTTTTCTTCAATTTATCAAATTGACATCACTTCAAATAAAATGTTTTAAAATAATTTGTGTTTAACTTACTTCATTTGGATGTTTATTATGTAATATAATTTTCAGCAAAATTCTGTTTAGTAAGATTTACTGTCAACTTGAGATAAAAATGCTTTTTGCTTTTTTGTTCTAATAATATCAAACTTTTCATCATCAAGAGTTTCAACAAACTTTCATAATTAGATGTTGGAAAGAATTGTACAAAATTAAATTTGAAGCTGTAGAATTGCTGGACAATGTATAAAATTATAACAAAATTTGTTACAAATTTGGTTTCACAATTCACAAATTTGGTGAATTCACAAGTCTCCAAAATCTGGAATGTACACAAATTAAAACTAAACTTTAATCTAGTGAATTCATTATTCATTTTCTTTTTATTAAAAATATTTCCTGAATTTTAATTTTGTTTAAATGATTAAAAGTAAATATCATTTGATAAGTTTGAGAGATGTTATTGATTTTACACAATTTCAATTTTTGAAAAGTTTGAACATCTTTATATAAATAATTGTTCTTAATATTGGATTTTATTGTGTGATGTTTGTTTACATATCTGATAATTTGATACAATAGAAAAATATAAATTTTGAAAAGTTATTTAATGAAATAAATAGTTAAAACTTTTTGATTTTAAATTTTTACTTTCCTGGCTGTCATATAACAGAAAAAGTATGGCAATTGATCAAAAAAAATGACTCCCAAAATTTTTACATTTTTGGACTTGAAACCTTGACATGTCAAAAAATGCAAAAGAATTTAGGGAGTTTTTTCTGCATTTATGGTTGTGTGTGGTAGTAGTGCACAATTTTGTTCACCCACTTTAAAGCTTAATAATTAATGTATGTTTTGTTGAAAATTTCTGAAATTTTGCTGGAAGGTTTGTGTATTTAGGAGATTAATACTTTTAAAGTTTGGTAGTTAAAGGCCAAGGGAGAGGAGAGAGAGAGAGAGAGGTCATGTGTCATATCTTGAGTAGGGTTGGATTTAATGAAGATTTTACTTGTTATTAGTTAGCATTTATAATTTTTATAAAAGTTATCTGTACCCTCAAAATTAAGCTTTTTGCCATTTTTAGCAATTAATAATATATAAAGTGTTATAAATTATTATAACATATGGCACCATACACATTTTTAAATTTTTTGCTGGGAAAATTAAACAGATTGCTGAATTTTTTTAACTTTTGGCAAATTGCATTTTCTGAGAATTGTAATTATCTACAATTTTGTTTATATTTAATCTCTAACTTGGAAAAGAAAGTGAATTGTAAGATTTTCTGTCAAAATATAATATGGAATAACATAATAATGTTTGATTCTGTAAAGGTTAATTATTAACATGTTCACTGCCTCATTAAGAAGCAATGTTTCTAGCTGTGTATTTAGAAAAAATTTTTTAATATTTTTGTTTACTTCTTATCTATATCACAACTGATATGATTATATTGGATAATTGTTAACTACATAGATATTAAGTGAATGTTAAAAACATCAAAGAAATTAAGTAAAATAAGATATATTCTTAGAAATGAACAGTAAGCAATTAAAAAAGTTTTTTCTTAAAATACATAATAAAGTTTTCCCAAAAAAAATCTCAGCAAACTTTTAGGATACTTGTGAGAAGCTATTACAGATGTGGTATTACAGTGCAGGCTATGTGATGATATCACTGGCAGTGAATATGTTAAAATGTTAAATAATTTAGTTTATTTCCATTGAAAAATTTAAAATACAAATATTTTGTATATGAAACAGTATATTTGATTATTTTTTTGTAATTAGAAAGTATTTAAAATTAAAGTTTTTAAATTAAAAATTAATAAGTATTAAAAATTAAATGTTTATCTTTAATATATTGAAAAAATTATACAATTAGTTACAAAATATTGTAGTATATCTAATTGCAATCAAATCTCTAGATAGTGGATTATTTCTTGCCATATCATGGCGATGTATTAATTATCAGTACAAAATAATTTGATCTAAATTTGCATAGTAAACAGAAATTACAGTTAAAATATTCTGAAGGTTAGAATAGGTTAGGTTAGAGTAAGATTAGAATATTCTGAAAAAAAATTTTTTTTTCAGAATATTCTAAATTATTATATTTAGTTCAAAAGTTCATCTTGTACTAATACTGATAATTAGATTGTGACGTGATCATCTACTTTTAAACCAAAATACTTTAAGAACTTTATTAATAGTCAGTCAATTAATAGTTATAGTCTGAAATAATTTATTTTCTAGGAATTTGATTATTATAATGTTTAGGGTTGGTTTTATACAGTGGCTTAGTGTAATGGGGTGGCAGAGGCAGCAAAATTTCACAATAAATAATAATAATAATATCTTGTAAAATTTTATTTCATATTTTTGTTGCACCTATGATTTGGACCGATTGAAATGAGCACAGAATTTTTCATTACTTATTCTGTGACAAAACTGAATTTTAGTCTTTTAAATTGAGATACTTAAATAAGGGGACAGTGAAATTATCCTCTGCTCCGGGCGGCTGACACCCACGCTATGCCACTGGTTATATATATATATAATTTTCAACTTGCATGGAAAATTTCATTAAATCTGTAGAATTTCAATTTAATTTCAAATCATTTTTATCTATTGCCTATACCAGTGGTTCTCAACCTTTGAGGCCATAGAACACCATTCATATACTTTTTATTGCATGGAGCATTGGCATAAATACATTCAAAAATTGATAAGCAATTCCATGTTTACTATTTTCTGGAAACAATGAAGCAATAAACTAATAAACTTTAATATATTGAATAAAATAGAAACATGGAACATGAATATAGCAATGGGAATAAATTTGAATAAAAACTTTAAAATCTTTTCTTTCGTGGAACACTGGTTAAGAACCATTGGTCTATACCAGGCATGGCCAACATACAGCCCGCGGGCCAGATCCGGCCGTCTAATGAATTTATGTGGCCCGCGATCAATTTTTCAATATTAGCTACTGAAGTCCGAGTAGCTCAATGAAAAATTCTGACAGCTAAAAAAAAAAAACGTGAGTTGCAAGATTTAAAGCTCTGCTTTTTAAAAATATAACTGGGAAGATCTCATTTTCGATTCTGAAATGTTTCTTTCTGCGNAAATATTTTTAAAATTAAAAACATGGACATTGTTTTGATTTTTAAAAATGTAAAATTCTTTCATTGAGTATTACTTTTTGAAAGAGTAATTAAAAAATAAAATTTCAAAACTGATTATATATAATGTCTTCATTTATGTGACATTGATTAAACTAAAAGTCATTCATAATTTGAATTAAATTTATATGTTTATATTAATAATTATATAAATAGCTAAATAATTTCTAAAAATCTATTTATTGTAAGTTTATAAATAAATCTCAATTTGCTTATATACACTAGTAATTAGATATAATGCACTTCAGTAGAATGTGGCAATCTATGGGTCCTGTTTCATCATTTAGAATACAGATCTTGCTGCTGCTTTTATTTCATCTGTAGTCTACTAGTTTAACTCTGTAGTCTACAGTTAGGTTACTGAGCCTAAATTGATAGTGCGTGTAATACACAGTTAAAAATCAGTTGCTTCGATTTGCAATATTTTGCTGGCCATTTTGACATTTTGTACTTGATACAATGTAAACAGCTTAATCCTTGAAAGTCTTGATAGAGAGAAAAACTAGAAAACAAAAATGGACATCAGGGAATGTCAGGAATGTCAGTTATGATTAGGGTGAATAGTGAGTTGATAAACAGTGGCTATCATGTGACATGGCTTATTTTCAAAAAAGAGAAAAGGTTCCTTCTTATAATACATCCTCATGCACAACATAATTCAATTTTTTGGATCCCAAGGTCTATGTTATATCAAGTCAATATATAGTATGTTCACTTAAACATCTGTGTAGGGATCATCATTGCACAAGTACATACATGTGCAATGATGGACTGCATTCTTGTCCGATGCTAAAATAACCAAAGGAAATCAATTCAACAATTTAACATAACATAAAAATAATCTCTATCTGTAAAGGATAAAAACAACATTGCAGAGATTAATACAAAAAAATGAACTTTATTTTGTTAGAGAACATGTTCAAAATGACTGTTTCAGCAGCAATACAAAGATGCAGATGGTTGAGCATAGCATTACAGATGGTACAAAGCATTCCTGATATCACCATTTCACTGAACTTTTTTATATATCTCTTCAGTTTATCAAAATTACCTCATACATTTGATTTTAACTGACACTATAAAAAGAGGGATAATGTTTGAGGAAGGTGGTAATCATGTAATACAGCTGTGTTGTCCTATCTAGTGTCCCATAGACAACCACTCTATGGGACACTGATGCATATCACTCTGAAAATGAGAAGGTATGTGACACTAAACCTGAAGTTAATCTTTTTACTGGATAGATATTTAAGTAGTGGTTTCAGCACTGGAATAATGCAATGCTGTAAGGACCTCTTTTGCTCCTAAACAGATGTTTGAGGGAAACCCATGTGGCGGTACACGTGGAGAATCCTTTATCTGAATACTTGGGATCAGAAATCAAAAGTGAAATTACAGTGGAACAAAATGGTTCAATTAAACCAGAGCCTGAATGTGCCAAGCAAAAATTCTGTGACCCTGATCAAAACAGTTTTTTGATCATAGGTCAGGTTAATCTATCTTTTTCTCAGTTAAAAATTAAAGGCTTTTTTGGGATACAAATCCTATCCTTTGCAGCAAGGGATGGGGTTGAGAGGACAAAGATCCACATTGGAAGTTTCAAATCACAACCTAAAGTGAAATTGTTCTGCCTTTTCTAGAAGTGTTTTGGACTTTTGAAATATTTGTATATTTATATCTATAAAATGGGACAGCTTTGCAATGTGTCTTATGTAATACACCAACAGAAACCTTTAAGTTTTGTACATACACAAGGAGAATAACTCAACATAAAAAAGGCATTAAGAAATATTTTACAGTAAATATTTCTTATGTTATATTTTTTTATGTTGAGTTATTCTCCTCGTGTATGTACTGTACATTTGTCGGCGTGACGTCCACCCTATGTATTTACGTTACGGTAAAGTTTGAATGTGTTCTGCTAAACATACATTAAAAATTTGGATTGAACAACACTGAAGTCACAACTTTTGTACACACAAACTTTTCATGAAATTTATCAACCAGACAGCCAGAAAAATCATCTGGACAGGGACCTGACACAAAGGCCCTGGGGAAAACACTGGAACATCCATTTCTGGAATTTTCTGTTTTGAGAAGCATCTCATCAGCACTCAAAAAATCTTATCGATTTCAGAGGTTTTTCAATTTCAAATAAAGGATTCTCAATCTGTATGTACTGTATATACATAATCTGAATTTATCTTAATCATAGCTTTAGCATTGTATTATATTAGNAGGGTTCATAGGATCCTGAAAATGTATTAATATTTCCAATTACTAATTTTAGAATTTATAAATTATATCATCATCATCATCAAAAATAGTTAATGTAAATGAGAAAGTTATCATAAATACAATTTATACATATATCAAAATCAATATTTTCATAATCATCTTACTATTTTTCATAAAATACATTTAATAGTATACTTGAATGTTATGTAAAATGTACAGTACATATAAAGAAATAAATATTACCTGCATTATTATTTCCTAAAAAGCCTAAATTATGTATTAATAATCAAATAATAAAGCCAATTGCATTATCAAGCAATAGCTTGGCTTATTAAACTAACAGATTAAAGAATTATATTTAATTAGCCAAGCTATTGCTTGATAATGCATTTGGCTTTATTATTTGATTATTAATACATAATTTAGGCTTTTTAGGAAATAATAATGCAGGTAATATTTATTTCTTTATATGTACTGTACATTTTACATAACATTCAAGTATACTATTAAATGTATTTTATGAAAAATAGTAAGATGATTATGAAAATATTGATTTTGATATATGTATAAATTGTATTTATGATAACTTTCTCATTTACATTAACTATTTTTGATGATGATGATGATATAATTTATAAATTCTAAAATTAGTAATTGGAAATATTAATACATTTTCAGGATCCTATGAACCCTAATGAAACTGTGATTGTTATCCGAAGTCTGGTACCAGGTGGTGTAGCTCAGCAAGATGGACGTCTTATACCTGGCGACCGACTGCTATTTGTCAATGACATCAATCTTGAGAATGCTAGTCTAGATACCGCTGTACAAGCTCTGAAGGGGGCACCAAAAGGGGTTGTACGCATTGGAGTAGCCAAACCTCTTCCCCTGCCCGAGAGTACACAAAGTGGACAGGTGAGTGACACCTTTGTGTCTCGGGTGGATGGGGGAAGGGGATTGGTAGGAGCTCAAGATTCTTGTAGAGCTCAACCATCACTTGTAAAATCAGAGAGTTTTTAAATGTTTGGGTTGACTTTCAAATAAAGTTGAAACTTGTTTCATTCAAATCCATGCTCAAATACTTTAGTTTGAAAATTAAATGATATAAATTAATATTTTCAATTTCATCATCAGATTTAATCTTTCTACATTTTCTAAAATAGTTAAGATCATTAACATTTAATAATTAAATAAAATTTTAAAACTGATATTTCAGTATAATTAAGCTATTGTTTGAATTTATAAATTTTGCAAATAAATAAATTTATATTTCTATTGATTTGTAATTTCATGAAATTAAATGAATAGTTTTGTAAATAATTTAAAATATGAAATTAAAAGTTTCAACTTTATGGAAAAATATTAAGGATCTCTTGTTTTAGTGCCTATATAAAAATATATTGTATATAACAGTGATGGTATAATCATTAGGAAAAGAAATCTCAATTTATTCTTTCTCCTTCCTCCAAATCCACACTAATATATTTTGGTTTGCTATGTTATAAAAACTGAAATTTGAAATAAATTCACATATCGAATGTTATTTAAATATGATCTCTTAATGATAGATTACAGGGTTCTGTATGTTAGCTGTGATGTATTATTTTTATATATTTGCAGACATTTTCTAATAAATTATAAAAGTTTTTTAGGAATTTATATTATTTTGCACTGAACTTTTTTAAATTAGCTATGCAAAATATAATGATTTTGTAAATTTTAATTCATAGATGGAATCAATAAGAGTATTTTTGTGACTAAATATCAGAAATTTCTGTAACAAAAATAACTTTTGCACTCAATTGTACAAATATTGATTCCATTTTTGATGCTTTTATGTACAGTTAGACTTATAAGTAGATAATTTTGATAACATTGTTCATTTGTCATAAATTTTAGGAATGTTTATAATTTTTTTTCTTTTGTATTTGTGTTTATGCACTTTAGCAGCCAATAGAAAATTATTTACGTTTTTTATCATTGATGATGAAATTCACTAGAAATTCATATCTGTTGTTTTATTGAAGAATTGAATTTGAAATTGATTATAATAAATTAATTAAATACCCATTCATAGTAGCTGTTATTTATTACAGCAATATTAATTTTACATTACAGTTAAATCAATAATACATGTCATTTTTTTTAATCAAAATTTATATGTAATTATTTTATTCATTAAATTACATTTAATAAAAAATATTGAAAATACTTAATACAGCATACAATTTTTGATTGATATATTACTTGAAAAAGTATATATTTATTACCTTAATTTACAATGTTTTTATCAATATATACAATAAACTAAAAATTCCACTTAAATACTTATAAAAGTAAAATTGCTTTAATTAAACCTCCATTAAAGCGATTTTGTTTTTATTACTCTAAATAAAATATTTATATTTAAAGATGTAAGCATTTTAAAACTAAAAAATCATAATTTAAATTGTTTTTTTAGTGTACACTATACATTTATAATATAAATGAATTGCTTGTAAATTCTAAGTGTTTATATGTTCAAAGGTTTATAAATAAATCAGTCATATAACAATGATCTTACTGTTTGAAAACATAAATATTCTGCCATTTATTAGTATTAAAACTGTACATATGTATATACAAAATGGCACTTTTTTTAAAAAGAATTTAAAACTTTTTTAATTAAAATTTTAAATTCTTTTACATTTTCAAAAATTATAATTGAATTTTATTTAAATGATATTTTAGAAATCCAAAGTCAGTCAAAAACAATTTACTTATCATTATTAATTGCTAAAAAATATCTTTGGGCTGAAATAGATTAGTTTTAAGTAGAAGTGTTTTTTTTTACAAGAAGAATAGAATAAATGGATTAACTACTTTGTTTTAGCAACAGTAACTCTGAAAAGATAATTACCTGTTATTTTAGTGACAATGAACAAAACAGATCAAATAAAATAAAACAATTTTTATACTAAAATATATTTTTTCATAATACATTACATTTTAACATATTTTTGAGTATAAAAAATAAATTTTTATATTATTTTATAAATTTAAGCTTATTTTATTAAAAAAATAAGTCAGAGAGATTTAATGATTCTGTTTAAATCTTTTCAATTAATAGCACAATGTGATTACTACTCTATTGATTTATAATTAATTAATGAAACATTTTATTTTCAACAAGCACAAAATCCAGAAATAAATTTATTTAAGGAACTATTATTTTTTGAAAATTTAATCATTTTCCATTAATTATTAGGTATGTATGAATTTTAAAAAAGTTAACATTGATTAAATTTAATGAAAGGGTAATTAAATATTGCCTAAATTGCTTTAAAAAATATGAATGGTTAAATGTTCTTTTAAATTTGATTAAACATTCATGAAGAATTAATACTGAAATTACCATATGTATTCAGAATTATATAACTAATTACATTATTTATGGCTAATTGGCTGACTGTTCTGGAGTACTCATAAAGTGCTCTGTTTACTCATTCTTGTTCAACTGGACACAGTAGCGCAGTTTGGATCACTCACCTATGGTGATTAGTTGATTACTCTCTTTCAGAGTGATGTCATTAACCTACACCTGCTGCTTGGTAGAGCAGCCAGCTGAATTTGCCATTAATCATAAATTCTAACAATAAATGTATAAATGGATGGTGATATATTTACTTACAATGCAAATTTGTTTTATTTTTAATAAATTTAATTGAAAACATTAAATAACAGTAATTTTATCATTAACTATAAACAGGGATGTAGAATACGTCTAATTGTGCAAAAGAAGTTCAGGGTAAATTAAAGCCATCCCAAGAAATATGCAGTAGAAAAACATTACAGTAAAATGGAGTAGTGTCTTGACTAAGCCTGTAGATATTAGTTGGGAAAGTTTGCAACATTGGAAGAAACCATATGTTTTAGAAGTAAAATTGAAACATTATTTGCTTTGTTCCTAATCAGTTTAGTCACTTGTTATTTTGCTGCTTAATTATACAGTTATGTGCTTGCAGTAAGGATGAGTCAGTCTTAATTATCAAATCACTGTTTTGATTTTTACAAAACAGTTGAAACCAAAACAGAGCTTTAAAGGAAAACTGAGATGAAAATCCATTTTTATTTCAAAATTTTTTGGACACTATTTAAAGGATGAAATTACATGTCAGCTTGAATTAAAATGAAATATTCACTTTTTCACACATCCACACACAATTTGCAAATTAATAAACTGCTTTTAAAAAACTTTCTGAATTGTCTTGATTAAATAGCTAAACAGAAGGTTTATCATCATTTTATAAACATTATTTACCTTTATTTTTCATAATTTTTGTAGATATTAGTTCAATATTAATATTTTTTATTTTATAAGAAATTTTGAAACATCATTAAAACATGATAATCTTTTCAAAGGAAAAAAGAAATAATAATGAAAAAAATCATTCAAAAACACTAAAAATTTTCTTTTCTCAACAAATTTGCATTTCTTAAGTAATTTTTCCAGAATAAAATTGCATGACCATTGTTGTCATAAAGAATTTTTGCATTTTTTGGATGTCCAGAAAAGTGTGTTAATTAGTGCCTCTTGCTAAAAATTGGTCATTCATGCCTTTGGTGAAGACTTCAATTTTATCTTTACTAATCAACCTATTATAACAAGTTTATAATTGTACATGCTCTTCTATGACGATGACACATACTCAAATTAAAGCTTTCTTTTAATTTTAAAAAAAATTTCATGTTTATTTAATGGTTCAATATTGCATGTTAAATTATTTGGTAGTCTTATTTATTTTTATGATGTAATTTGAATTTTCCAAACTATACAGTAATAATTATTAATTGTTCATACTTATAAAATATGTCCAGTCAAATTCTACATTAAATTTCTATAGTCAATAACTGACATTTAATAACAAATGAAATAAATACATTGCAAAAAATTATTTAAACTTAGAACCATATTAAGTTAAAGGAACACTGCCTTTTTAAGATTTTTTTTTTTTGAAAAAATTATTTTACAAATATATTTGTATAATGTGACTACTACTATTACTAAATTACCAAACTCATACAGTAGTTTTGTTTCTTTTTTAGGATTATCTGAATTATGCACCCAAAAACCCTTCAGTACTTTTGGGCTTATTAGCCGATCATCAGAGGCTATATTTGTATAATTGTTTGTTATTTATTATTTCAATAAAAATATGTTATCAAAAAATATCACCAATAAAAATAACCTGTGCATATGATCCATTCATCTTTCAAAAACTGAACATCTGAGAAAAAATAAATTTTTTAGAACTTTGATAACAACATGAAAACTTTTTTATTTTAAAATGTAATTTCTTGCTTATTATCTGCAGCAGTGTATAATCTTTGGGTGACATTTTTAATTGAAAGAAAAGTTTATTGAGTTATAATTTGTGCAAGTTTGTTTCAACATCTGTTTTCTTGGTACATTATCATTTGAAATGATGCAAGTTGTAAGGACACCTAATACTTAGAAGTATTCTCAAATCTAGAAAAGAAATTAAACAATTCATCTTAAAGCAGTACAATGAAAATTTAAAATCCAAGGGCTATATTCTGGTCATCTTCAAAGAATGACCAGAATACAGTCCTTGAATTATAAATTTAATACAGCTATTCTCTGATTTATGACCTTGCAATTTTGAGTCAAAATTGATTTGTTTTTAAACCAAATGATGGCCACACTTGCTAATTGCAAAGTACAACAATTAAATTTGTATAATACTATAATGGTATAAATATCAGGGCTGTGGAGTCAGAGTCGTGGAGTTTTGGTGTTTGAGTCGGAGTCGTCAAAAGATTTGCCAACTCTGACTCCTTTTTACTTCCCAACTTCTTATGTATATAAAACAGAAAAGTATTGGAATAATGTCAAATTTGACCCTCCAAGTTATTTTTTGCAAATCTACACGTTTGGAGACCATCTGAACCCCTCAAAAAAGTCAATAAAAGGGGAAAAATTCGCGCGCGCGCCTGTGTTGGCATCTAATTTGTTTAAT